CAGTCTTATATTTAACTGTTTTCTAAAACATGTTGCTTCCAGGTATACAGACAAGACTGCGAAACCTTTGGCATGGTGGTGAAGATGCTGATCGATAAGGATCCGTCGTTAGAGAAGTCCATTCAGTTTGCTCTGAGGCAGAATTTGCATGAAATAGGTGAGCGATGCATTGAGGAACTCAAACATTTCATTGCTCAGTACGATGCTGCCAACCAAGATATGTCAGAATCCTTCAAAGATGGCTCCTACTAAGACAAAAATACAGTTAGAACTCTGCATACAGTACGTGCACTGCAATGCATACATCTGTTTCTTGTGAGGAAAGGGGAGTTTGTGTTGAAGATTGGAAGCCAAGGCCTGTGCTACTTCATAGCTCAGATGGCTGTACCTTGCTCATTGTGGTCTCCACAGTTCTATTCTTTCTACCTGTACTTGTTATTCCTTTGAAAAAGATGGTTTTTTCTTCAAAAATTCTGTAAAGTGACAAGTTATGCAGTTACCTGGCAAAACACATTCAGTCTGATGTTTGTGCACTTGCATTTTGATGTTTGTAAGCATAACCAGAAACACCATGTTTTTTATTAAAACAAGAATGTTCTTCCTTCCTTAGCTTATGCAGAAATATGTCCTGTGTTCATATATACTGTAGGCAAGAACGATTTGTAAAATTGCTCACAGCTATGATTTAATTTATTTATTATAGTTTAATTTTGAATTTCAGATGGATTCTGTAGAATTACACCAGGGTTTATGTCTAGTCTTTGCCAGAGGAACTCTGCCTACTTAATGTTAGAAGAACCTACTCTACTTCTGCGAATGCTTTATATATGTTGGTTTTCCACACTGTATATCATTACTAGTGAGCAGTATTATGTAGAACTAAATCCAATTTTTGTTAACTGTTTGCAACTGTCTTCTTTTGTAATGATTTTTATACGTACTTATTTTTGAGCGATACCTTACAGAATGTAAGCACAGGCAGACAGTGAGGAGAGGACTCTGTTTTTACCCATTCCCCTTCTTATCCCTTAAACCTCACCATTTTTTGTGCAACAGTTAGGAAGCCTTGTAAATCTTCAGAAATCAAGAAGGCACAGGAATTTGGAGTGCCAAGATGAGGTCTGGGCCATCTCTCTATTTAGTAACTCCAAATTGCTTCAGATCAGGTATAATGTGAAGTTAAACCCTAAGTAGATCCCAGATGCGTTATCTCAAACCTAAATGATTCTGTAGTAGTGTAGTATCTGGAGCCATTTTTGACCTGATAGAGAGTGACTTGTAGCTGGGAAGAATGGTTGAGTAGAGGCAAGGAACTGCCAGTGCTGCGCCATTGCGTTGCAGAGATGAAACGTAACTTAGGAATCGTTGGCACTGGTAGGTATCCTGACTGTTGGTATGTGTACATGGAAGGTGATGCTGTTTTTTCTTGAACGTTTTACGAAGAGGGAGAATTTGAGTCATAGACAAGAAAAAGTAAACGATTGTTTTCTATGCGTGTATTTAGAAACATGAAATTCTGTCAAATGGCCAACAACTCAAGCTCACCGTTTCCCATACGCACGGTATTAAATGAAAATGTCAATGGATTCAGCCCCTTATTAAGTAGCTTCTCACATTACTGCCAAATGGTTTGCAGAAAAGTAAATACAATGGCAGTGATTTTGCACATACAAGGTACTCGACCACAGCATTTACACAGACAAACCTTGATGTGGTGCATTAAATATATATTCCATCAAATTCCTGAGATGCCTGATTAGTTTTAATGTTAGGGAAAAGCTCACTGATCCTACTGGGTGCTGGTTTGGGGTGGGAGATGGGAAAGAAAGGTGACCTGTGATGATACAGCAGCTAGACCTGACCCAGCCCTTTTTGCAACAGCCTGGCTTGTCCTGCAACCACAGGCAATGTTCTCTGAGACAGAAACGTCGCAAACAGGGCTCACTGTGGACCAGATAGTTTTTCAGGTGGTAGATCTGATCTTCTGCTTTGGGTTAGAAACACTAAAGAAGAAAACAGTGAATTCATGCTTAATATATTTTTTGTCCATTGTTACTGTATGTTGTGTTAGGAGTCTCTTTCTTTTGTTCTCATAGTGAAATTTAGTCAGGCTTCTAAAAGTACCTGATTTTGCAAGAGCTTCTCTATAGAGCTTACAACACTTGTGTTTTTGCAGTTAGTCAGTAGGTCAACATCTTCCTAGGATGTTCTTAGCATTCCTTTTTTTTTTTTAATTGATTTATTTTTACTGATGAGCTAAGGAGACACTTTTATTTTTATTTTTTTAATAAATGCTGTTTCTATGAAAGTGATTGGTGGCTGTTTTTTCCCTGTTTAATACTTGGCATGGTGCTGAATGTTCATGAGCAACCTTTTGTGATGTATCCTTGATGCTGATGTCAGTAAAATGTTACGCCACTGAAGCTTGAGCAAGAACTACATTTTCTTATTCTTGCTTCCTGTAGGAACAAGGAATTTTATTTTGTATCAGTGTAAGAAGTTGTCCTTGGTCTCTTGTAGAGCCTCGAGGGGACTGCTAGAAAGGGGCAGGAAAAGCACTGATGGAAGGAACCCACGCTGTGCACCAGGAATTGTTCTTTGTCCCTTCAGGAGCTCTTGGAAACACAACATACTTCTAGGACTCATTAATGTGCAGATGCCCTTAATAGAATGAAAGGGGAAAAGGAAGGAAACAAGGGCAGAATTAGCTGCTAAGGCTGCAGAGAATATGAATGAATCTGTCTTCTCAGTGGGGGTGAGCTGGCAGCCTTGAGCAACAAGTGGAGCGGTTAGGGTGGAAGTCAGCAATACAGCCACTGCAGGTAGAAGAGGAGCCAGTACAGCGTATCAGAGGAACTGCTTCCTTGTGACTCTGTTTCTGTGCAGGATTTCGTCTTTGGGAAGGTGAAGATGTGTGGCCTAAACGTTTCTTGGTATCACGAAGGTATAAGCTCCACACACAATGAAGGCATGCCTTCCAGTAATGCAAAACTGAAGCTGTACATTCTGTACCTGTCTCAAGTGCAGGGAGTGGGCACTTCCTATCATGTCCATATCATTTCCTTCATATTAAGGTGGAAGAATGGATTAGAAACATTTCCCAAAAGAAACTGTTCAAAAATAACGAAGGAGCAATCTTTTATATCAAGCTGCAGAAAAACAGAACAATCTTACAGCCATCTTTAAACTTAGTGTATAATGTTTGAATTGGGTAGTAGTACAAAAAGCTGCCTGTTTTGTTACATGTGGTTACAGGCACCTGTTACTCTTCGCATGATGGGAATGTCCTCAGTGATCCTCAGAAAACAATTTTCTAAGTGTTTCTAATAGTCTTAATTGTTTGTGGCCCTGCAGCCTAGCACAGGTGAGTGGTGACAGGTGACAGGACAAAGGGAAATGGCCTCAAGTTGCACCAGGGTAAGTTTAGGTTGGATATCAGGAAGCACTTCTTTACAGCAAGGGTTGTTAAGCTCTGGAATAGGCTCCCCAGGGAAGTGGTTGAGTCACCATCCCTGGATGTGTTTAAAAACGGAGGAGGGAGCAGAGGGTTGTTAGGTAGTATGGTTAGGTTGAGGTTGGACTCGATGATCTTTAAGGTCTTTTCCAACCTGAGCAATTCTATGATTCTATTCTATGATTCTAGGTAAGGGAGAGCGACGTGTCTCAAAGTTGAGGTACCTAAGCTAGCCCTGAGGAAGCTGCTCAGCCAGAGCACTGCTGCCCTGGGCACTGTGCTGTGCAGCTGTACCTTCAGCGAGTGTTGTCTCAAGGGAAGAGAGATCACAGCTCCTGCCTTGGGCTGGAAAGAATGGCTGCTTTTTTTCCTTTGGCTTGTTGTTTTGTTTTAATAACAGTATGGGGAAGAGAGTCATCTTTCAACTCATTTATCTGGAGGTTTAGAGGGAGGTGCTATGGAAGCGAACTCTCTGAAGACAGCTTAGAAATGACACTAGATATCTGCATTGAATAGTTGTGTTGTTTGAAAGAAAAAGAAAGAAGTGATCACAGACAGTGATTGGAAAGCATTTATCATCTGATACTTGGTAAGGCTTTGTGCTTTGGGAGAGTATGTATGTGCTGCATCTCTGAAGATGGTGTAAGACAGTTTAGAACAAGTGCTGCTGGGACGTATCTGCATGAAGCCCTACTGCAGTAGCAGAGGATTTTGATGACCTGTAATTGCAAATGCAGTTAAGAATGGAAAATCCCAATCCGTGTTTGAGTATCTGGGGGAAAATGCTAACAAGTCAGTATCACTCCTCAAGTCCTGGAAGTCTTTAGCAGGCTGGCTGTTGTAATGTCCTTAAGCACAACCGCCATTTAGCTGCCAGAAAAGTAAATGCTGCCTAAGCCACCAGGGCAGCCTGCCAGCTGGAGGCATCCCGCAAGCTGCCCATGGGCCCCTGTGATGTAGCATGATATTTCTTTGATCATCTTTCACGTACACAAGACTTGTTTGTACTAGAAAAGGACTCGAATGGTGAATAACACCTCTGGGAATAAAGGATCTTCTGCTTATTTTACCCTGAAGAAGACAAGCAAGTAACAGCTATTTTAACTCAGCTGTAACAGTAACTTCAATTTGTTGGGTGTGAGCAATACTCATGTATCCATTCCATCCCTTATTTCTAGCTGCTCTTATTCCAAAACTTTTTATATCCTTAAAAATGACTTCAGTTCAATCTGCCAGTTCTGTGTATGTAAGAAGCACCCGTTTCTTCATCTCTTCATTAATTACCTGTGTTCAGGTGGTCAGACAGCCTGCTGTTTTAGCGTTTACTATTTCAGTGGGCAGACATCAGTGTTAAGTAACAAAGTCCTGCTCTTTCCTTAAAATGAGCTTCTCTCAATGCTTTACCTTGAAGGTGAATTCAAGGCAACTACTTTACCAACTTGCCTTCTAGGACAACCCTGCGTCTCTCTCCCTTGATGTAAGCAAACATGGAGATGATTTCTGAGAAAAGAGGGAAACAATAAAAAAAAATCCACATCCACAGGAGTTGGGTATTTGTTGTACTGATATATTCCAGGCTTGTGTGGTTTTTACATTTATATAGTTTACATTTTGCTTGACCCATAAATAACACTTGCAAGATTAAGAGGGCCATAGTTTGGAGAGTATTTACAGAGCCCCACCATGCATACAGAGCTTTCAATACCTAGTAGACAAAATTAAGCTGTTTTGCACTAAACATTTTTCAATATTTTTAAACTCCCTGACTAAAATACAAGCACTATTTCATCCATAATGCTGCTGTTAAACCCCTAACAAATCTAGTTCGATATCGTAACAAACTTCTTCAAATTCAGGGATATAAAAATATTCAGCTTTTAAAAATCTTAACTGTACAATATGTACATTCGTATTTGCACTGTTAAATTATGAATACATTTAAGCCTATGAAATACTACGTCATAAATAGCAATTTTTTTTGATTTAGAATTGCAACTAATACGTTTTAAAACCTGGATAATACATTTGAAAAGACAGAATTTTGGAGCCTAATCCTTTAAGCCCTTATGAAACTGTTTGTTATGTAAGTAGATTCATTGACTTAAATGGGGTTATGTGCCTGAGCAAAGGATCCCACCATTTGTACCTTTCTCTTTCAGTGCTTTGTTGCGGAGGAAATGACATAAAAGCCATCACTGCTCACTGGCAGTCAAGTCCAATTCCAACAGCTGAATTAATATCTTCCTTTTAACAGGCACAAAAAAAAAAAACAAACCAACACAGGATGGAGTTATTTTAAAAAACAACAAAAACTGGAAGGAAAAACATAGAAGTTAAACATGTAAACCATTTACTGCTGCTTTAGGATGCATCAAGGCCTCAAGCATTTCAGCTCCCACAGTCCGATTTTTCACACCTTAATGGGGGAATCTATGGAAAAGCAGCTTCTTCCTAAGTCAGTTAAAAAAAAAATAATAATAATTCCAGTTTTTGTAGGGAAACATCAAAGAGGAAGAATGAGTTCTATCGATGAGGAGAGGGCGCTGTCTGTAGCCCTCTGTTTGATGGAGAGAAGTTGAGTATCACTACGTACGGGTATGTACAGCTACAGTACAGGACTGACAGTTTTATTTATTGATCTTCACCGAATCCTCTCTCTCAGGTAACTGAATGTGGGTGAATAGAGAGCGTAAAGTAAAGTCTACAGAAGTCTGTATCAAGAACGCAGCAACAATATTTTGACAGCTGAAACACAGTATGTAAACTTAGCGAAATCTGAACAGATCATCGTTTGGCATTGTGACATTTCCCAATGTTACTTTACTTTCACAACGTAAACTGAATGGGTTATCAGTTAAACTGGCAAAGCATTAAGAACCTTAGCAACTTGCCTAAGTACAATTATTAATATAAAAAGATGTGGTTCAAACTGTAGCTAGAGTTGACTGGTCTTCCCAACTGTTAAAACAAGTTAAGAAATGATGCAATTTTTCCCTTTGTGTCCCCTCTTCTTCTTCTTTGATTTGGTTGTCCTTTGTCCAAACTGAGAACTAGATAACGCATTAGTTGGACCAGAAAGGTCATCTGTGTAGTACGGGTATCTCAGTGACCGTGGCTGCGGAATTGGCTGTCCTAGGAAATACCCTTCCTCTTCAGAATCTGACGACGAGGATGAAGTTGAGCACCAGGAGTCATCTTCCTCACCATATAATCCAAAAAATTTATCAACCGCCTGATTCCTCAGTGCATAATCAGAACTAGTATGGGCATACTGGCCGTACAGCTCTGCATTTTGAATATAGGCCCGAAACTCACGTGAGCTTTTATTTTGAATAAATTTGTCGTGATCCTGAGGCGAGTAATAACGAAACCTCTCTTTTGGAGAGTATCTTCTTTCTGTGGCCAAATTAAGTGCATTGTCTGAACGAGATTTCCTACTTCTTCTGCGATGATGAGAAGGTCGATTTCCACGTTCTTCAAAATGATAAACGCGCCTACGAGTCCGTTCACTCATTGGAGGTTGTCGAATTTCAACGTTCTCGTAACTTCCATTATCAATAACATCATCTGAAAACTTGACTTGCTGTGGTCTAGACTGGGATTTAGATCTTCTCAGTACAGGCACATGCGCTGGCTTTTCCTCCGGTAATGCTTTTTCCTGGCACAGCTCTGAGCTCAGACTCTTCAAAGACTCTGTGCTCCGATGGAGCATTGAAGAGTTCAGAGTTCCCATGTTGCTCATCTTCTCGCAGTCCTCTACCTCCAATTCTTGGAAAGTTTGCAAAGAATAGAGAGATGGCCGTGGCTTGCCTTCTCCATCCATTGACGCCCCTGTGGTGGGAGTGGAAAAAGAAGGAAAAAGAGTATTATTAGAGGTATATCAAAGAAATAGGTATCACAATGAAACGTTAAAATACTTCATGAAAGCAGACTTTGTTAGTGTTATGCAATGGACACAAGCTAAACTCTCTCTGACCACTAGGAAACACTTCTGTGCTTCCGTGCAGTGATGGAGCACGGGCACAGGCTGCCCAGAGGCTGTGAGGTTCCCCTCCTTGGAGATCTGAAGCCACCTGGATGTGGGTCTGGGCACCCTGCTCTGGCTGTCCCTGCTGAGCAGGGGCTGGGGCAGGTGGAGCCAGAAGTCCCTGCTACCCTCAGCCATTCTGGGATTCTGCTCTTTGAAACTATTATGAAAAGGACTAGCTTCACATAAGAGTAACTAACTATTGTTTTTACTTACTTTAAGAACTTGCTCTCACTAGGATATTGAGAATGGAAGAAGTTTAGTGAGTTTAAAATATTTAAACAGCTCTAACACGCGTAGAGCTAAGCCTCTGAGAAAAGAATTACTTCAAGTTATTCTATGTAGATCCCTCTGAAAGCGATGCGTTGTACTGATTTCTGTGGAAACTACAACAGACATGAAGAGCACAATAACACTGCTCTTCAACAGTCACCACTGTTAGCTGTGCAGTTTAACCAGCAGTGAAGAAGAACCTGCATGCTGTGCACATAAAAATCTGCCCTAGCAGAGGTGATCCGCTGTTGCCACTACTGAAATGCACCACCTCACTGTGCTCGCATCCACTGGTTGGTCTCCAACACTGAGTTAAGCGTTGATGGATGGCAATAGATGCATTTTTTTTTCAGCATGGAGGAATTCAGTGACAGATCTTTGCTCCATACGCACCTCCATGTCAAACATCGTTGTGTCAGAGTGCCCCTCTGCTGCCATCTGTCTCACAACAACAACATGGGATGGAATATTGGTGAGAAGGTTCAACCTCTGCTGACGTTGACCACCACCACCACCACGGGCCAGTATAATAAAACAGGGGACATTACTCTCAGAGCAGCCCTCATAGAATCCATGCTTACCATTTTGTAAGGCTTAACTGCTTCTGGTGTCACTAAATTCAGTATTCCAGCCGTTGTTCCGAAAAAGCTAGGCTCCCTCTCAGAGAAGGATTCTTAGTCTCAAAAAGTCATCAACAGTAAGCTGGTCTGGTTTATTCCAGGTTTGTGTCAAATGACCCTTCTTCCTCAGAACAAGAGTTTCATTCACCCTTTAACCCCCATCCAAATGCAGTGCCTGTGATTCCTCCTTCCTTAACCCCTACACCTAGCTCCTTTCATCATTTCCTTCTTAACTGCATGGGTAACACAGCACACGGCTGGCTCTGACCTATAGGAGTAGCTAGAATCTTTCATGCTGCAGAAGGAAAGCAGTTTGTCTCTTTTAGCCAATTCTCAATTGTCTTGTTTTGTGTAATTTTTGTTGGGATATAGAGATGGGAGGGCGACACACAAAACATGGACATGCCTGAATATCTGACTTCTATCCTTTTAGCTAATTTCAGTCACATTTGACAAGGAGGTTCACAAAAGTGGATTATGTTGCTCTTTAGTCAACGGAGAAAGATAATCTCATAAACCTCATTTCCTAAGGCTAAGAAGGTTACTACTATTTCAGATTTTCTACATAATTTTACAAGCAAATCAGGAAATCTACAGTGTTTTGCAGATTACCTTTAAAATTATCCTAGCAAAGAATGCAACTTCCTGTAGTTAAGGTACAAAATTTGCTTGAAGCAGTCATTTGTATATAACATGCAGAGTTCAAGACCGCTTTTACTCTGCTTAACATTGTTTATGTTGTCTCCTTAACACTGTTTATATTGTTGTCATTATAAGCAAAGAGAAAATTTAAGCAGAAAAGGATTTAAATAGAATTTAAATAGCACAAATAAATCTCATGGAAGAGTATGTGCTTGATAAAAGCTATTGCTTACTTTACGTATATCTCTTGCTGTGAAAGCTTTTTAAATATCACAGGTATAAGCTTGTTTCAAAACATACAACATCCTTGCTTGATTTGACCTCTCCATCAAAACCATTCGGTTTCCCCTGCCATTACCTGTTATGTTAGACAAAGCCAAAGAATCCATCGAGTCCCGAACGCTTTGTTCTTGCTGCTTCAGATCAGACAAACATTCAAGCGAACCTCCATACCACGGTGTCTGGTCATGTTTGTATCCTGATGCCCCATGTTCCAACTCCAGCTCCTGGATTTTCCTGCTGCTGGCAGGGCCTGGATGGCTGCCATACGCAGAGTCACCCAAACCATCTTGCGACTGGGCCCAGTACATGTCTGATTGATATTTCTTACTTGCTAGGCTTGGGTTATTTTTTTTCAAGTCCAACTTGCTCTTGACCATGCTATCAGAAATCCAGTGTTCACTTGATCTAATCTCTACTTCAGCAGGTTGCTGGAAAAGGCTTTTGTCACCAAACTTCAGAAGAAGTTGAGTCATGTAGTCTTCATGTTCAGCCCATTCTTCAGGGTCTTCAGGCATTTCTTGCTCTACCCTTCCTTTCCAGAAGTCTTCGTTAACAAAGCTTGCCTCTTGCCTTGAAAGGCTTAAATCATCCAGCTTACGAGAAAGCGTATCGTCAGCATTGCCTGAAAGACCAGGAAATTTATAATTGAGGGCTGGGGACAGGAGGAGAGACTGGCGGCACTGGTCAGCCGAGCGGCTGCTTTTTCCCATGCGAATGCTCCTCCTGGAATCTCTCGATCGAGCAGACTGGAATGCTGAATCAGAGGAATCGGAGGCATGAACATCTTCACCCAAGCTGCAGGTTTTTGAACAGTAGATCTGCCCTTGCTTTGGAAGGAAAGGGCAGCCAAGCAAAGAGGTCTTGCACTGAGCACAAGAAAAGCAAGTCTCTGTAGCGTGCCAGTGCTGTCCATCATAGGTCATCTGAGCATGGTCAACACCTAGAAAGGGAGAAACAGCAATACTTTGGGTTCTCTCAGAAATTACTTACAGAACCTACAGTTCCGGAATGTATTTTTTGTTTTTTCAAATCGCCTTTCCCCAAGTTTGTAAGTTTAAGACCTAAAAAGGACATACATACCAATGTGCTCCCCACAGGTCTCACAGTATTCTGCATAAAGAGATTCGAAACAGCTACAGCAGAATGGGCGCCCATCCTTCATGATGTATCTCTGCCCACCCAGGATTGTTTCACACTCGAGGCAACAGAAGTGTTTCATGTGCCAGTGGCGGCCTTCAGCTTCTGTACACTCATCAGCAAAAATTATCTTTCAAGAGATAAAAATGAACTTTAATGAAAGTGGGGAAAAAACTCACCTCAGGACTCAGAGCTACTTGCACAGTTAGCACATTGAATTTATTTCTCTTTAACTGGCTTTTGAGTACTGTGATAGAAACAGCAATTTCCTATAGGTACTGTGGCATTTTGATCTTTTAAACAGCAAAGAAAGAAGAAAGACTACTTTTTAAAGCCATAAATTAAACGAGGTCACAGAACTCAACAAATAGCTGCTATTATGATGACATTTTTAAATATCTCTACAGATTCTTTACCTAATTCAATCTACAAGACTCAATTCTAAATACAAGCAGGTACGTGCTTTCTAAATACAATCCCTTTGCTTGTCATATTGCCATTTGGACGAAAAATGAAACACCCCTCAGCTTTCAAACACCACTATGCACCACAGCCCTTACTGCTTGAGGGAACGCATCTGCTCTTAGTAACTGCCCAAGCAAACGATGCAGTTTGTTAACAGAACAGTAACAGGTGGGAGGATTGAATGCAAAGTGTGAATTTTACCTCATCACAGGCTGAGCATCGAGGCTTAAGTAGTTCAGCATGGTGTCTGCCACAGTGAATTTTTCCATCTTGGTAGAAGTAGATGAGGTCAACGAGGAGCTCATTACACGTGAAGCACACAAAGCATGATGGATGCCAGCACACACCAGGGCCAGCTCTCGAGGCAAAAACTGCAACTTCACCGCCATTTATTTTTGTACCACACTGGGAACAAAAACCAACAAGTGAACGTGCTTCCAATCACAGGCTGTTAGCTTAAAACACCCATGCCCAACACAAAGGCTTTATTTCACAGAACCATAGACTGGGCTGTGTTGAAAAGGACCACAGTGATCATCTATTTTCAACCCCCCTGCTATGTGCAGGTCACCAACCACCAGACCAGGCTGCCCAGAGCCACATCCAGCCTGGCCTTGAATGCCTCCAGGGATGGGGCATCCACAGCCTCCTTGCACAACCTGTTCCAGTGCGTCACCACCCTCTGTGTGAAAAACTTCCTCCTCATATCTAACCTAAACCTCCCCTGCGTTAGTTTAAACGTATTCCTCCTTGTCCTACCACTATCAATCAATGTAAACAGCTGTTCCCCCTTCTGTTTACACGCTCCATTCAAGTACTGGAAGGGAGAAAAATTTTAGAGAAAATAATTATATTTTGACATTCTGATGAGAGAAAAAAAAAACCCCTAGGTTTTGGGCTGGACAAATTCTGTGCATCAACAAAACTTCTGTGAATAGAAATTTATTTTATACCCAGCAATATTTTGATATAAATGCCTGTTTTTCATTTGTCACTATTTCAGTGCGAGTCAGCGACAGTAGAAAGTACATCAAAGACTCAGTTCATTGCTAGTATCAAAGGTTTTGCTTTTGCTTAAGCAAGCACTACCTTCATTCTATTTATGTGCCATTTCAAAAACATCCTTTTTTTGTGTGTGCTCAGGCATAGACAAAATAAGACTGCATTTACTATTGGGATACTGTAGTTATATATCACTGAGCCCAGTGCTGGGCTTGTGGCTCCAGCAGTATTACCTGTTCACAGACTGCATGCATCACTGCTCTCGAGAGGAGTTTAATAGTGCCTCGTCCCAGTGCCTCTTTTTTGCGCTGAGAACTGAACATCTGCAGTTCTTTCTTTTCTTCTTCGCTTAAAGACTGGCAGTATCTCACCTTCCAGAGAAAAGGCAGGAGAACTTTACTTTAGATCCCGAGCTTTTAAAAGAGCACCTCAAAAAAATAAGCGTATAACATGCAAAAAATATATCAGGAATACTGGCCATCACCATTAAAGCTCTCTAGCTTGTCTTCTTTACAATCTTAGTACTCAGTTATTATGGCATAATACAAGCACAGCATAGAGAGAAATTTTGAGTTACAAGAAAAAAAAACAACAACAACATGCTTAACTAAACAGTTGTCCAGACAAGAAATAAGACTTTAAGAAAGCCAAACCAAGAACTGCTGCTGCCGTAAAACAAAGGAATTAGCCTGAATCAGCTACAACATCCTTTAGATTTATGGTAAAGTGCCTACAACTCAGCACTGCAGCACACAGGATCTTAAGCATTGACACCCCCGCCCCTTTTCTTACAAACAGCTTGTTTGTTATTTCCACTTCTGCTCCAAATTACACCGCATATCTGAGATGCAAACCCTTTACTGTCACAAAGCATCCTTTTTGTGTGCTACAATGAAATCCCAAGAATTTGTAGGTTCCTGGTAATTGGTGGGTGGCTGCAAACACTATAAAGCCAACTTGTGTTAAGTTTATTGCAGTGACACCAACCTTCCCGACAAGAAAAGGCAGCGTCCTCCCAGACAGCTCTTATCTGCACACCAGTGAAACGCAGTTAGACACCAGACTCTGTACACAGCAGGCTGGTTTATAGGTCAGATGCCAGCACAAGAGAAGTTTCAGGCTTGTAATAAGTACACAGACAGGTAATTCTCCATGTGGAAGAGGCAAGCAAGGCCTCACTCCTAACTGTGCGTTCCCAGGTTCCGTTTACCTCATTATCGTGGGGTGGCAGCTGATAGAGAAGTTGTTTAATCCTGTGCTTCTCTCCGGGGCTGTTAACATAAGGGACCTTCTCCTCTGGCAGGCAGGCAAAATACAGCTGTACCTACATAGGAGGAATGGGAAGTCAAACCAGGAGATGCACAGCACCTGAGCACCCTTCAGCTACTGTTTTATCTCAGGTCTCATTACGAAGAAAGCAGGCTATGCTACATTAGACCCGTGACAGGGCCTGTGCTGAAAATACGAGACCCTGATGAACCAACTCAGCAAACCTGGCTCGCCTCTGATAAAACTAGCACCCAGCTGCTGAATTGCTTTTCTGGAATGCAATTTGCAGTGACAATTAGGGGGTATCGTAAATTATGCACATGTAATGTTCTCATTACTCCCAGCCCCTTCAGGGCTGGTCAACAACCCTGTTGAAATTCCAAGTTTCCCTCTGCAATTTACCACACAGGGCACGAAGCTTTCCAGAAAACAGCCTCTATATAAACAAATTTAATTTGCTCTGCGCATTTTACACATTGCTGAGACAAAAGCTGTTTTGTAGTCTCCTGCTGATCAGGTTCACCCAAAGCATCAGCTTTCATTGCTTCCATGTGGCCTTTGGTAAGAAGGTGGAAACATCCTTCCCCCGGGAGGAGGCTGGGTCCAGCCACATTTCAATCGGATGCAAATTAAGGGTGAGGTTTGCACGGGCTGCATGTTTTTGATAAAGAAATCAATATTAGCTGTACACGCCTATCAATCTTCACTCTTTTTTTTTTTTTTTTTTTTTCTTTCCAGAAGAAAATGATGACAGGAAAACTGTAATGAACACTGTGACAAAGCCCAATGGCAAAAAATATTTTTGTGGAACGGCTGCAGATTTATTGTTTTTCCTATGCAGTTTCCAGCTTGTCACGAGGCCTGGGGCAGTAAACAAGAGCTGACTATTGGCAAAAATATTACTTGCCATCCAGATGTAAATAATGCTTAGGTCAACAGCTTATTACTGTGCAAGACAGATGAAAAAGAAGCAGCGATCGGTCACTTGACTCAGGAAGCAATCAAAATCATATGGGGAAGGTTGCACAAAATATTATTTGACTTTCATTTAACCAAATTTTTTAACATCAGAAGTCTACTGCAAGCCCACTTAGCGCTGAGTGCATTTCAAGAAGCTGCAGGAAAAGATAAAAACACACAGTACAAAGTGAAACTTTAAAGGTACTTTATGCCCTTTTCTCAGCTTTTTGCCCTGTTCTCAATTTAAGTCATTCTTCTTAAGGGAAAAAATATAATGAGTTTGAATCTAGCTAGATTATGGGGATACTTTATGGAATGTATTTAATTGTTCTGACAGAACAGTTAGCTTGCTGTTTGCCTTGAGGTCTGATTCATCAGGATTCTTATATATGCTTAAGCAGGCAATAAAGAGAATTTCCCTAAAAATAGCCCATCATTTGCCATTCTTGCTGATCTTACCTTATTCATTAGCAAGAAAATGTCTGCACTGCAAGGAAGATACATCCTTTGCATCTCCATCGCTGTGGGCTCCAAGAGCTTGGCAGCTGCCTAAGAGTGGGTGGCTCTGCCACACTCAACAAATGTGAAGAAGCACCTCTGCCTACCTAATAGCATCTGAGCTCTGGGCCTCACTGAGTGCATTGCTTCAGTGCAATATCAAATAAATGAATGCTATCAGAGGTTCAATTTCACTTCCCATAGCAACCTTCTCATCAGTAGATCTACTTTTATTTCTGCTGCCACTGTGACATAACACATACAGAGGGAAGGGGAGAGAGGAAGACACAGCCCAACCAGCCCACAGGCATTGGCCACAACGAAGGTAAAAGAGAAATCCTGGTGTGAACAAATGGCAGGCATACAACAATTTTAAAAAGCACTAAATGCATTTGTGATTGTCACAGTGACAGAACACTTTCACTTCTGTATGCTGTAGTAATGCCCACATTCTCGATGTCAAATGCCAAATTATTTGAAGAGCGGAACAACTGCAGTTGTGTACTGACCAAATATCACAGTATGACATGAGTTTCAATTCAACCTAATAACTTACCTCAAAGAGAAAGCACATTTCTGTGCTACTTTAAGACTCAACAATACATCTGTCTCTGTGGCACATATTTATTGAAAAATCCTAACAGGGAACAACTTTGTCTGTTTAAATATAAATGCAGCGTTGAGGATTTTAAGGTCCCTTAAGGCAGCTTCTTTGGAGTGGGAAACAAAACAAGGTGATGAGTTTTAGATGTTTTTATAATACAAGAATGTAACAGACTGGCTACTGCTCCCTTAGACAGACCTAATGAGTTATTTACAAACACAGAACAACAGCTGGTACCTGCTCTGGTCTGAGGCCTGGTGGGACCCAGGCATATTCTTCCAGGGCACAGCCAGAGTCGTCATCTGATGTTGAGCTTCGCTGACACGCAAAGACAAGATTGTTAGCTTTGGGCTCCATCTCCAGGGACATAAGTGTGAGCCGTTCAGTGTTTCAGCTGCAGTTCATCAAGCAGTCGATCTGCAGAAAGAGATTAACAGAGCTTTAATAAACTTCAACACGCAAAGACTGATGATCAACATAAGTGATCCTACAAGAGTTTAGTATTCCTTGCATCGGCCAGAGCACGATTATTAGAGCATCACTGCAACAAGCAATTCAAAGATATTTAAAGAGCTCTCAAAAACAGGAAAACAACAAAAGAGAAAAGTGAAAATACGGCTTACTGAAGGGAAAGAAAAGTAACACCCACTACCATGTTCGACAGCTAACATCTATTTCAGTATTAGCAGCCATCTTTTACATTTCTGCTTGCTTCACATGTAGTGTATATAGAGATAGGAAAGACTCAAGACTCATTAACAAAATGAATGAGACAAGCTCCTTCTGAAGTCACTACTAATCTAACAATACAGAACACATGAAAACTGCTTGTCAAAAGCTGATGAAGTTCTTGGGGAGAGACAGCTGTGCAAGTAGCATCCTGTTTTTAACACGGCAGGCATAAAGCAGTGTCTGCAACATTCCTTGTTTTAGCTGTATCAGAGCGGAAGGGTGTTGGTCCAGTTAAATATCTGAAATCCAATTATGGCAGATTAGGCTCTGTAAAATACATCATGATTGTTCTGTTAATTTAAAACCCTACAGGGAGATGCTTCTGTTGATTCATGAAGCCTACAAAGCCCAATATCAGTGGGATCATTTTGACTCACAACTGGCAAAAAAGGCACCTGTAACTTTCTGCAGTAAAAACCTTATTAAGATAAATATCTTACATTCATTCTAGCAGGAGTTCTTAGGAAATATCAGTGGAATACATATTATCAAAGCCAGAGAGGATGTTTTCTGCCAGGACAAACATCCTGAACACGTGAGCTTGAAAGTGTGCTTGCCTTCACACTATGCCATGTGTGAGCTGCACCTTCTGTTTTAAGCACTTTTTTCACCTACCCACCTTCACAGAGACACAACTGTGACATGGCTAGATGCAGGCTGCTGGCAAACTGCAGAAAAACGTCACGTCCTCCACTTATAACCTTTGGGTCTACAGGGAGAGCAACCCACACTGCAAGTCCCATCACCACCATGTTAGAGCAAACAAGCTGCTGCTGGATTGCAGGGGAAAGGAAGGAAGCAGGGGCTCGTTCTCCTCTATGCACAAGGCACTGGTGAGTGCCACACTCTGCTTCTTCAGAACAACACGCAGACCCAGACTTCTCAAAAAACCATGGCCACACACATGTGAAGTCAGCAAATCGGAGAAATGACAATATTTGCTACTACACATTCTGCCTATCCCTGCTTTTAGTATGTTCATACTTTCCCACACCCAATAAAAGAGATGACTTCACTGCTACCCCAAGCCAGTGCTTGAAAAAAGCACACTTTTTCTGTTTTGAAAACAGAGGCGCTGTTTTTTGGTGTGCTGCTAGGATGACAACGCATGATTACACTGCATGGCCACACTGCAAGAAAAAACTTACTGCATATCTTACGGGGCAAGCAGACCTGCCAACCTTCCCTTTAAAAACAGGCTGCTTCTCACAGAGCTTGTCAGACTTCAGGCATATTTTGGCAATCAGACTCTAGGTGAAAATGTGACTGTCCAGCGACTGGCCAGCATTAGCAGATCAGTCACATTAACTGAATTCTGTTGTCTTACATACTGTTATAAAAGCAAGGATAGAGAGTCATGGACTGTCTATTGAAAATACAATGTATGACTGGAATCAAAGAAAAAGCCTCTAGAAGCTCCATCCTGTATACTTAAAATGCAAAGGCAGACATCCTAGTACTAGACTAAACTCCCTGAGTTAATTTCCTTCGGAAACAGGTAACAAGACAGCAAGTGATACCAAACTGTGTCCCTGTCCACACCCTGGTGGAAATGAAGTCAGCCATCAGGTACATTTGTTGTTACAGTTCCTGTAAGGCTGGGGGTGGAGGAACAAGAGAATACTGTCACACTGGTATAAGAAATCACCACTAGCAAAAAAAAAACCAACAATGCTGCCTACTGCAGGAGGACAGCGATGCTAGGGCTGGGTCGGCATCTTGTGCTCCACATCATCTAAACTCCAATAATTCTGAAGTTAGTCTGAATAATAATCCAGCCATCACCATGACGGGCATCAATGAGAAGCTCAAGTCCTCCTGAGAAGCCCCAAGCAGCCGAAGCGGTGCCTCACAACTCCCCATCAGAGGTAGCTGGACGGCTGGTTTACAACAAACGCCTCTCACTGAGGCCTGAGCTGATATTTCCAATTCCTCTGGCATTGTGTCACGAGAAGCAGCACTGATCAAGCTGTCACTTTTCAGAAGCTGACTTCTGCCCCATGGAAGAAAGGAGCCACAAGATGAAGCACCTTTGTCAAAGCTTCACTAGGCAGACTGACCTCAACCACGGCAGCAAGGAGCAAACCTGACATCACATTCAGCCGGAGAGCCTGTCAGCTTTGCAGTCCTGGGGCACCAACACACCGGGTAACCGCGGCACTGCTCGACACGGACCGCTCCAAAGCCTCTCTGTGGGATCACAGGTTAACTGCTCTGCCTTGCTTTCTCCAGCTGACAAGAAAAATAAATAAATGTGACCCTGTGCAGACCTGCTAGCTTTCCTGGGGATTTTTGAGCGCTAAGGCTACGTGCTTCTTCTGTATGGCAAAAAGCAGCGCTGAGTGCTGTTAGGATTTCAAGCACACCAAAGGTACGTAAACACGGGATAGCTGCCTAATTCCAAAGAAAAGGCTTTCATTAGAGATAGAACACTCTCCTTCTTCACCAAGCCTGACGCTGCCTGGGTCACCTTTACCTGCTCATTTTGGGCAGAACAGGGCAGATCCACAGGCCCTTTCTTCCTGTGACACAGAGTGGGCTGGCAGTACAAATGGTAGGGAATAAAGGAGCAACACACCTGACCTCAAGCTGCAAGAAACAACTTCACAATCAGGGTGCTCCTCCCGAAATAAGGTGATTGGCAATGTTCAAAACAAGGTGCATAAATCTCAACAAGTCCAGATTACACAAAGGACAGCGTTCACTTTAAAAGAAAAAGGTTACCATAGTGCTAATACTGAGCCTGCTATAAACTGGCTGACAATACACCATAAAGCAGCATGGCCATGCTGCAAATACTGTGCTGCTGCTGACAGCGAGGTTTCTAAAAACAGCACAGCCTAACAGCAAGCTATTTGCCCAACTATTTCAGCAATTACTTGTTTAGAAGTTCTCCTTCCTTTCCTGCTGAAGTGTAATTTGGTTTGCATTTTCAAGCTGCAAGGCTCTTCCTCCCCACCCCCCAACTGCACCGCTTCTTCAAAGCGAAGCTGTTTGAAACGACTGCATCCTAAGGAGGATTCAGATGAACATAAACAACAGCTGAAAAAATAAGTGCTTTCTGAGGGATGAGTAGAAAGGTGGTCTTCTTTCTTCTCATGCCATGACATCTACATAACACTGCAAGTTCTGGTTTGCTTTTTTCAATTCTGCGGAACATTCTGAGGTTTCAGCTTTGCTCCAATACCACCTCACAAAAAAAAGCTTCCTAGCCTACAAGGAGATATTTTGCTGGCAGCTTGACAGCTATGAATAACATCACTGAGTTAAACAGCTAAATTCGATTTAAAAAGAAAAGCAATTATGACATTTTTTTCCACTGATGTACTAAAATGACCATATAGGACCAAGTTCTCAGAAGGAGAAGCAAAGAGAAACTGCGCTCCCAACTGCAAACCCACCAGCACACGAAATTCAGGGTATCAAACTTAGAGCACAGCCCTCAGACACCGGAGGAAGGTTATCCTCGTGCGAGGATTTCCAGCTCACCGATTATGCTCTGCTGTCACCCCTGACCAGATAGGAGAGGTCACGATTTGCGAGTACGGTTAGACAAACATCTCCTCGCCCACCCCCTGCTGTTTTACCCCGTCCTGCAGGGCAAATTGTTTAACGACTTTTATTGTTAGAACGCTTGTTAACAAGGCAATAGGGGATGCGAGATGCATATCACACACACACACACACACACCCATTCACAACCAAGGCTCGGCGACTTAAGATTAGCGCTGGCAGCCCATTCACCTGCTCGGCGCAGCCCTCCCGCCTCAACCCGCGTTCGGGGAGGAAGGGCGGCACACGGCAGCGATAACCGCGCGGGAAGCTCCGCACGGCTGCTCCCGGCGCGCGTTACTCCGACGGCCGCAGTCCCGCTCCGCGGCCGCAGAGCCGTACTGACACGCGGCTCCAGGTGCGAAGAGCCGCACGGGGCCGGCACCTCCAGGCGGAGCCGGGGAGCGATCCCTTAACTCTCGTCCCCTCGCCCCCCGGCGGAGCCCTGCAGCGCCCCGGGGACAGCGCGTTCGGGAAATGCCCACCCGTCCTTAAGGGCTGCACGGAGTTAGCGAGAAAGAAATCTCGCCTTCTACAGTCTCCCATTGATTTTTTTTTTTTTTTAATTCTATTTTAAACAGCAGCCAGACTTTACTCCAATGTACACACGCGCTCAGGTTTCACTCCGTCACCTGTTGGCTCCCGAACAACACCCTTCTTTGTTAGGGCTCGCTGCCCTCATTTGAGACAAGTTTCCAGAGAAAACACTTGGAGAAAGCGTTCGATCCGTCACCGGGCCGGAGCCGCGAGGACGCAATTCCGCGGTGGCCTCCCCAGCTCATCGCGGCGCAGCCGGCCGCGACGGCCGGCCGGGCTGCGGGCTCCCGGCAGTGAGGTGCCTCCCGTCCCCGCCCCCGCGGCTCCGCACCGCCGCCCGCGTTACCTCCTCGCCGCCGAGCCCCGTCCCGCGGCTCCCGCCGGGGCCCCGAGCATCCCCGCTCGCCGCTCACCTCGGGCTGCGGCGGGGCTCCCCCGGCGCCGGGCGCAACCCGAAGGAAGGGGCGGGGGGGGCTCCTCCTTCCCCTCCTCGGCCCGCCCGCCGAGAGCTACCTGGGCCGCCCCCCGCCCCGGGCCCGGCCGGCCCCCGCCCTCCGTCCTCCGCCCTCCCCCCTGGGTTGCGGGCCGGGGCGGACGCGGCCTCGGCTCCCTGCCGCCCCCCCGGGGATCATCCCCCGGCCGGGGACGGGAGCCCGGCGCCGAGCGCTCGTCCCCGCGGCTCCTGCGGGAGGGGGCAGGAATTCGGCAGGAATTTCTCCCGGCGGCGACCTCGGCTCTCGTGCCGGGAGGAGCCCGAGCCCGAGCCCGAGCCGGGCCCCCGAGGGACGCGGCGGCCGCGGACACGAGGAACCGCGTTTTACCGACGGCGCTTCGCCCGCCGTTTGTGCTGGAAATAGGTTTCCCACCCCGCCCCGCATTGTGCTCTCCGGGAAGGCCGACCCCGCGGTCCTCCGCGAGCGCCCGGGCTGATAAGGACGGGAAAGCTATTGTATTAACAAAAGGAACGGAAAGAAAGCGGTGCGCCCCCGCCTTCAGGGACGCCTCGAGCGGGCCCCTGGGAGGAAGGCATCCCGGGGTGACACTGGGCCGCGAGAACCGCCTGCACCCTTACACGGCGCAGCCCGCATCTGGCGGCCGCTCCATTCGCCACTCATCGGAAATGGAAGCGTCGGGAATAATGTCTGTCCTTCCCCGCTCCGAGGCCGAGTTGACCAGCGGCTGTCTGCGAGGATTGCCCTCTCCTGCAGGGCGCTGACCGTGGCTTCACAGGCTGCCAGCGCCAGGCCTCAGCTGTGGAGAGGAGATGCTCCCCGGGGCTGCGAGCAATGCACTTCGCCGTCGTAAGGCTGAAACCCTGTACAACGTGCCCGTAACTTCTTCCTGAAAGTGCTTTTCGCATGAGTAAAACATTTGGTTTTTATTCAGAAGTGCCAGCAAACTCAGTGCAACTCCTATTAAATCCACCACAGCGCACCACGAAGTGGTTTCAAGCAGTCAATTGCTTTCAGCTCTTCTTTTAAACTCTCAGATTGCTGTTTCAGTGCTCAAGTGCTGGATGGTAATCGAACCCTTGAATGTTAGGCGAAGGAATCAACTGCCGTAACTCCCCCGGGCATTTGCACATTGCTGAGCTATCTCTTTTGATGCAGGTTCCTTCCACAGCAGCAATTGCGTTGCTATGGCTTTCTATTTCTTACACAACAAATACAACGGCATACACGCTTTTAATCTTTAGCATAAACTATGCTCCAGAAGTTGCCTCAGAAAAAAAAAAAGCTAAAAAAAGACAAGCGCAAACCTTCTTGCCCTTTAAGGCACGTTCCACATTCTTGGCTCCGGCTGGATAGAGCTAATTCTTCAAACAACCGGCTGGTTCAGGGGATCTGTAATGGATACGGAGCCGTTTGCCCCAAGGTCTTAGCACAAATTTAGTCTGGGTAACAACTTTCTTTTACCGCTGACCAGGCCACGTGTGTTCTCTGGCCTGCGTGAAATTTGCTCCGAGTATCAGCTGGGTTTCACAGTTCGCAATTATCCACCTCACAGAACATCCCTTGAGATAACACCAGTAATTGCTACCTTTGTTGGCAGTCTCGGAAGAGAGACCAAGGAGCAGGGAATTAATTAACCTCTTGTGCTTTAGATGCAGTTTCCCTGGGTAGGACAGCGGCAAAACACCCACTGCTCAAACCTGATTACTTCTATGGACAAACAGAGGAGATCACCCTCTACATCAGCACCCTTTAATGATCACCACCTTCACTCCAAGAGTTTTAATTAAGTATCATCTCACCTGTTCATTTATTAAAAAATAAAAGTGAGTCAGCTCTGAAAGGTGAAAGCATGCTGTAAGGTGAATGGGAGTGAGACCAAAAAAAGAAATCTGTCAGTCGTAATTCTTTCAGAGAACTCAATGAGAAAACTATTCAAAATAAACCAGGTTTCGTATTTTGAAACAAAACAAGGATTTTGCATATTTCTGACAGTGCAAGAAGAGTCCACGGACATTACAACAGCTTTCCAAAGGTCTGACCACAAATCAAAGCCTCAGCCTGGTACACATTGCTACCTTTAAGGAATTTTAGGAGAGGTGACCAGAGCACGTATGATTCCGACTTCAGGCTACAATGCAAGGAGCTCTAGGGTATTTCTGCAGCACCCAGACCCTCTCCACCTTTAGCAGCATCAGGTCTATACCTTGAGGGAGCAAAGAGGCCAGCGTAAGGGACGCAGTCCCATGGCAGTCTGAGCTATTCTAGGCAAGATCCAACCCAGCAGAAAAAATGGTGGTTTGGTTTCCTGAGCCAGGCAGCACTAGCACGACAAAAAGATAGGCCCAGCTCCTCAAAGACCACTGAATATGGTGTTCAAAAATACAAGTGTAATGTAATTGTATTTGTAGTATCATAGAATATCCTGAGTTGGGAGGGACCCAAAAGGATCATAGAGTTCAACTCCTGGCTTCACACAGGACCACCCAAAATTCAAACCCTATGTCTGGAAAGAATTGTCCACATGCTCCTTGAATTCTGGCAGCTTGGTGCCATTCCCACTGCCCTGGGCAGCCTGTTCCAGCCCTGACCACCCTCTGGTGAAGAACCTTTTCCTGATTCCCAACCTGACCCTTCTCTCACACAGCTCCATGCTGTTCCCTCAGGTCCTGTTAGTGTCACCAGAGAGATCAGTGCCTTCCCCTCAGTTCCCCTCAGGAGGAAGCTGTAGGCCTCCATGAGTTCCCTCCTTATCCTCCTTCTGAATGCATCAATTTTGCTGTGTACAGAAAGCCCTGTGGACATCTATCTGTATCTCCGGATACTTAAGCATCCCGTCAAACCTGACCCTAGGCCTCTTCCAGATTAAGAGCATGAGGTGTACATGGAAGTACATCTTCATAGGTGGGAACATTTGACACAATGTTACTGCTATATATTATCATTAGGGGACACCTGAAGCACTGGGTGCCTTTAAAGCAGAGGTGAAGCTTTGAATCAAAGAACGGCTTAGGTTGGAAGGGACCCCAAGGATCATCAAGTTTTAACCCCACTGCCACAGGCAGGGCCACCAACCTCCAGATCTGGTGCTAGACCACGCTGCCATCCAACCTGGCCTTGAACACCTCCAGGGATGTAACATCCACAGCCTCACTGTGCAGCCTGTTCCAGCACTGCTCTCTCTGTGAAGAACTTCCCCCAACATCGAAAAGATGAAGGACCATAATGAGTCAGCAGAGCAAGTTCAGCTCTTTGTGCCACTCTGCACCTACACAGCCATAGGTGAAACCCCCATGTGCTCTCCCCACTCAGCCTGGTTTCCTCCTGCCTGCATTACATGCGCTCTGTGCTGTCTCCCATGTGGATGGGGGGGATATCTGCCACATCAGGACAGGGAGCTGGCTGAGGAACCGTGTCCAGGCAGACGGGCAGCAGCACAGCAGCTCCTCACCACATGCTACTCGGGGACATCTCACAAATGGCAGGCCAGTGTGGTCACTGGTGTGCTAAGGCCACTCAGTTCTGTCACTGCTTGGTTTTATCCTGTATTTTTCAGGCTATGAAGAAAAGACACAGTGGGAGCACCTGTGATGTCTTCAGGTCTGAATCCTTGCTAATTTTCAAGTAAATACAGAGAAAGCCATCTCCGTAGAAGACAAGCAGACAAGAGGTGATGTGCAACAGAGAGGGAGAGATATGGAAATGAAATTGAAGCCTGCATGGGGCATGCAACAAGTGGAAAAATAAGGGAGAGCTTTTTTTGTCTCACACTGGTTTGTGACTCAGTTGGGGCGCTCACTTTCCACTCTTCTTTGCTGCATTCGGTGTGATGCATCCCCGTGCCTGCTTTATCACTGGCGAAGTAGGCACAATGCCCAACACAACTTTAGAGAGTAAGTGAAAATACCCAATGGAAACATTAGCATCAGATAACAAATTGTGAGCCAGTGGAGTCTGTCTCACCAAAGCAGACAGAAGCACGCTCACGTGTGTTTCCACCCGCTGCAGGATGGCTGCCGAGGCACCCGGAGGGAGGCACAGGTGGGAGACTACCACCCAGCTGCCACTGGCCTGTGGACTGGATGATGTTACAAAGCAAGAGACTTGTTTTATTTCCTCTTCTTAGCACTCCTGCAGTCTGTGAACAAAACGCCTTGTAAAGCCCCGATTCCACTTTCCTTCAGCAGCAAAGAATTAGAAGTTTCATTGAAATGCCTGTCCTTGTTGGATCGGGCTCGG